TCCCGGGGGACAGTGCTGGGCGGCCCAGCCACCCGGGAGTTGCCTGCTATTAGCAGCAGGTTGGTCACCTTCATAGAGGACAGTACAACCTCCCAGGTGACAACACACAGAGAATGGAATCAGAGGAAGCAGGAGGGGAGCCCTGACACCAGCTAACCCGCAGCTTCACTGTCCGGCTGAGGGGGACAAGGCCCGGGAGGAGAATGTCCTGCTGGTGGCCACACAGCCGCCCTGGCAGGCCGTCCCCTCCGAACACACTGGGCTTCCTCCCAGAGCAGTTTAGGAAACAAGATAAATACCCGCCAACCCCATCATCGGTGAGACTTGGACCCTGAGAACTAACCTCTGAAAGGAAGCTTCTTCTGCAAAGAGTGTACTGGGAATTTTTTAAAATTGGGAATCTTTTTAACAAGGTAATGAACACTGTGAGTGCACGGTGGCTGGTGTGGGACCCGCCTCAACAGTTCCTTCCACAGGAGCCACGTCCAAACCACGTGTCCCCTGTCCTCCTAGGACGTGCTGCAGCCCTTCCCAACGTGTTCTCATATCTGTTGTCTCACCCTTATTCCCACCAGGAGAAACGTGCAATGGGACCGTGTGGCCTCTACCACCAGCCTACACTCAGCCCCGAGGACACACCGGCTGACATTCCTGGGACATAAAACCCCCCCAGAACTGGGGAGGAAGCAACCTGCATCCCGACGGTCGCCATGGAGAAAGGCACACCAGCCCCAACCAGCTCCCACTACCTCTCAGCCCCGCCCTTCAGCCGGTGACCCCAGGGGCCAGTGTGGCCACAGCTAATGGCACTCAAGGGCTTCCTGGCTTCTGGACTCAGAGTTCTTACTTTATGTGACTCTCAAACAACGCATGACAATGGTATGATTTTTCACCCCAATTTTCAGAAGACTAAAGATCAGACTGTCACATAGCGGCAAGGAGAGAAATAAATAAATACTTAATATTTTCCAAGAAATAGGTGACCAAATGGAGAACTTAACCAAAGAACTGGAATGTATGTGTTAAAATGAAGTGGACGTTCTAGAACAACAACAACAACAAAGACAATAACCGAAATTAAAGATTCATCCATTGGAAGTCAGGTCAGTAAAAACATTCTATCTGATGCACAGAAAGAAAGAAAAAGAAAGATAAGATTCAGGGGGAAAAATTATGGAATGTGATAAAAATGTCTAATAAGAATATCTAGAGTCCTAGAAGGGAAAGAAAGAATCAGACAGACGCAACAAAAAGCTACTTGCTTTGTATGCATATATGCATAATCCATGGGCACAGACAATGGGGTGCTGAAGGCCTGGGGCTGGAGGGGGTCAATGGGGGAAAAAGAGGGACATATGTAATACTTTCAGTAATACTTTTTTTTTTTTTAAAGCTACTTGCTGAAAATTTTCAAAACTGATCAAAGTCATCAAGCCATCAATTCAAGAAGCTCTTCGAATACCTAGCAGAGTAACTACAAAACAAACTCCTAGGTCCATTATTGTAAAACTGCTAAAAACCAAAGGCAAAACTGTGAAAGCAACCAGAGGGAAAAAATATGCAATTACTTTAAAAGGGGCAACTGTATGTCTGATGGCTGGCATTTCCACAAAAATGATGGAAGCCAGAGGCTAATGGAATGACACCTTCAAAGGACTGAAAGCAAAAATCTGGCAACCTAGAGATCTCCATCTGACGAAATGAACAAGCCCCTGGAAAAAAACAAACAAACAAACACAAACTTTCCAAAGGTTAAACAAAGAGAAATATAAAAACCTTTATCTGTGAAGGAAATTGAATCTTCTCACAAAGAAAACTCTAGACCCACCGCGTGTCACTAGTGAATGCTGCTAACCATTTAACAATGGCCCACTTCTTCCTCAAACTCGTCCAGGGATTAGAAAGAGGGAACACCTCTCAAATTATTTCCTAAGCCTCACATTACCATGACACCCCAACTTGTCAAAGTCACTGAAAGAAAACTAAAATGGCAAGTAAACCTCTCTTGTGTACATAGTCACAGAACTCCTAAGGAAAATATGAGCAAATTGAAGCTGCCAGGGTGGGAGGAGAATTCCAGGGGGGTCCCTCAGCCCTGCCTGTGCCCTCTCACAGTCCGGGAGCCCTCAGGGGATGTCTGACTGCCGGCTTAGGCCCACTCCCGTGGCTGCCCTCGGCCCTTGCAGCCCTGGCTTCGTCCAGAAGGACATCAGGAAGGTCATTCAGCTGTCCGGTCTAACTAGCATATTATGCTTTTATTATTATAGATTGAAGCTGCCAGGGTGGGAGGAGCATTCCAACCCTCCCAATGGTAAGAGTGCCTTTTCTCATTTCCAAAGGGACTTAACACATTATCCATTTTATCCCAATGTTTTATTACCATCTATACCTTACACATAGGGAAACTGAGGCCCGAAGAGGTGAAAGAACTAGCTCAAGGTCACACACAAGCTGGACCTGGGCTAGAGAAATTCATTCCACTTGATGGACATTTACACACACCTGCTGTGTCCCAGCAAGGCCTGAGCGTGTAGGTTTGTGCCCCTCCCCTGCATCTCCCTTCTGCCTCCCGGGGCCTCTCATTCCTGGGGCCAGTACCCCCCTGGCTGCTCTATGGCGTTCGGGGGTCCCCAGCACACAGGGTGGCCCTCTGTGCCAGGCCCCAGGTTCCATGCTCGGACCCTGCCCGGAGCAAGCACAAAGCACGAGGCATTAGGAAGTGGGACTCATGGCCCATGCACTGCAGCCTGACCATCACCAACTCCAAGCTCACTGGTTACAAAGCGCTTCTGCCTGTTTCCCATTGGACTCAGGGAACCCTGCACTATGAAGACTAATACTTCCACTTCGGAGTATCAATACCCCCACCTTTGCCGATGAGAAAAGTGAGGCTCTAAGGCAGTGGTTCTCAACCTTCCTAATGCCGTGCCCCTTTAATACAGTTCTTCATGTTGTGGTGACCCCCAACCATAAAATTATTTTCGTTGCTACTTCATAACTGTCATTTTGCTACTGTTATGAATCGTAATGTAAATATCTGATATGCAGGATGTATTTTCATTGTTACAAATTGAACATAATTAAAGCATAGTGATCAATCACAAAAACAATATGTAATTATATATGTGTTTTCCGATGGTCTTAGGCGACCCCTGTGAAAGGGTCGTTCGACCCCCAAAGGGGTCGCGACCCACAGGTTGAGAACCGCTGCTCTAAGGGGTGGAGAACTGGTCTAAGACCCAGGGGCCTTCCTCTCCACACCAGGAGGCCCCACCCAGCGCTGTTCAATGGGATGGAAGATGTCCCGGGCTTTACATTAAGAGACAGACAAGACTGACGCAGATCGGTATGCTGAAAACCACCCAGAGATCGTAGGAAACAACTCCTGGCTCAGCAAAGTGGTGACAGGCTTTGTGTTTTTTTATATCAAGAACCTGAGGAATGCGTCCACAGTAGGAGAGGCCAGATGCCAACGAGACAAGACAGCATAAAAACCAGAAACTAAGGCCTTTCAAGCAGCACTATGAAGAGGATTTCTTTAAATATGTTTAAGCCGCAGCAGCTCCTTGGGAACCACAGGACCGAGGCCAAGGAGAAGGGGACACACACGGTGAGCTAAGCCTGGCCCTGTGTCCCAGTGGAGGCTGGGAGCGTCCCCTTCTAAAACCTGCCTTCTGCAGAAACGAGCCGAAGGCCCAGCTCCGAAGCTTCTAGATCTCATTGCTAAACAGATCGAGAAAACACACCCCCAGGACAGAAGAAGCCAGGGCCATCAGCTAAATGAATCCACGTGGGCCTCCGATAGCACTGTCCAGAGAATGTGAGGCCCACCGATGGGCCCCCACCACCCAGGTTCCTGAGGGACCCTGAAACCACAGCCCTGGCCACCTGAGGGGCAGAGTCCACGAAAACTGCATTTTGTGAACCCAGAGCACACAGCACGCCATGAACGCAGAGGCGCGGTTCCCAGAGCAGAGAACCATATATTTTCCACTTGAGTTTGTGCGTGAGGGAGAAATAACCTCTGGATGACAGGAAACGGGCGGGTGTAATTTCTGGGGACCTTCAAAAGCATTTGAGAAGAATCCAGACCAAAAACGATGCGGAAGCCTGACTCACACGAGAATGGGAGGTGCTGCGGTGACTCGGGCTGCAGGGAAGCCGGTAAACAGCGGGCCAGCAGGCACTTCCCGCAGAGAAAAATGTAAACGGTGGGGTCCCGGGGGGTCGGGCTGGTTTTACTTTGTTAAAAACGACTGAGAGGGAGGGGACAGTGGGGAGACTGCCCTGAGCACGAAGAAAACAGCGCCCTGGGCGGATGGACTTCACCCCGAGGGCCCGAGGCCAGGGCATGGGTCCCGCTGCAGGGAGAGCAATTCTGTGCGCACAGTAGGTGGGCCGTGCGAACCTGCCCTTGACCTTGAGAGAGTGGCAGAGGACTAACAAGCCCACGGAGCACTAGCATTCAGTGTACGGCACTCGTTCACCTGGGAAAGGAACACGGGGAGCCACTGGCGGCTGCTGGGGTGATATGTTTCTTTAAAAAGGTGCGAACCTGCCCTTGACCTTGAGAGAGTGGCAGAGGGAGGACTAACAAGCCCACGGAGCACAAGCATTCAGTGTACAGCTCTCGTTCACCTGGGAAAGAAACACGGGGAGCCACTGGCGGCTGCTGGGGTGATGTATTTCTTAAAAAAGTTTTAAATATAAGGACACACACACACAAATAAGCTGAAAAGGGGAAAGAGGGAGGTTTAGGCCAAGCACAGAGGATTCGGGAGTGAGTTTCCAGTAAGAGAAGCTCCCTGAAGTCGGGAGGAGCCCTTCCAGGCGAGGGACCCCTGAGGTGGCGGCAGGCGGCGAGCACCTGACCTGGTGGGGGAACTCCAAGGCCCCCGGGGCTGCGCACTGGTCTCCCCCCAACTCCCAAAGGCCCCTCCCCCCAGCTCGGTCCGGACCAGCTCCCAGCCCACTGCCCTCAGGCCACCCAAGAGCCTTACCTGCTGCTGGCTCTGCTCCTCCAGGTTCATCTTCACCTCCAGCGACTGGCGGGCCTCCAGGAAGGCCTTGCGGTGCTTGCGGTCAGCCATGTAGTAGGACATGATGCCCACGACGATGGCGCACAGGTAGAGGAAGACGTTGGCCAGGATCTGCGCCCCGAGGAGGAGAGAAGAGGACAGTGGTGAAGGCGCGTCTTCAGGAGAGGGGGTGGTGGTGGGGAGCGGTGACTGAGACCAAACCCCAAGTTGCCAGTGTCCAGGGAGGGCCCAGCAGAGCCTGTGACCCCGAGGGATGTTCAGGTCCCTGCAGCAGACGCTGCCCAGTTGCCGTGGCTGAGGCCCACCCAAGGGTGTGGCTCCAGGCCTAGCAGGCTGGTTGGGGGGTTGCTGTTCTCCCCTCCTGCTAAGCTGGCCAATCCATCCACCTGTGAGGCCTGAGCAGTCCCTCTGCTACCCATTCATTCGTTCACGCGTTTGTTCAACCACCACACACTGAGCACATGTGTATTATGTGCAGGTAGGTGCTGATGAGCTGGGAGCAGAGGGCAGGAAGCCCAGATCCACCAGCGGCAGGTGTATAACCCGACCTGCAGAAGTCCTGGGCCGATTCCGGAGTCACAATGTGACCGTTGCTACCCTGCACCTGTGCCACAGGTTTACAGGTTTCTGGGGTTCACATGCATCCTCGGTCACCCCTGCCAGCAGGTGAGGGGCGGCCCGTACCCGTACCCAGGTCCCACGAGGAACCGAAGCTACAGGAAGAGGAAGAGGAAGAGGGGGTGATGGGACCTGGTGTTTGTGCTGCGAGCTCAGTGCATTGGCACAAAGAGCTTCTTTGGGCTGCGAGAGCCTGTTCCTCTGTCCGCGGCACCTGCAGGCTCCCTGGGTGTGTGCTCCCCAGGCCACTCCAACGGGCCGCTGGACTGCAGACCTGATCACCTGCTGCCGAGGTGACCCTGGCACAACCGCCTGCACTGCCACACTAAGTGGGCACCGAGCTCTGAGCGGGGTCTCCTGCCCGCCACCGCGGGTGCTGGCTGACCACCCCCATCGGGTGTCCACCTAACAAAACCAAACCAGACTGTGCAGACTGTCAGAGGGCAAGCAAACACCACCAAAGCGTCTAAGCCAGACAGCGTGACAGACTCGGGTGTGTTCATGCCTGGGGACCATCAAGGCAGGACAGCATTCCTTGCACTGAAATGTGGGTATTTAAAAACAACCCACTTCTGCGCCCCACGGTGGGTAACACGGTGTAGAAAATGAATGCACGAGGAGCCGTGGACTGTGGCCCTGCCCCTCGCTAGCCGGGAACCTGCATGTCAAATCACCCGTCTGCGCAACCGTTTCATCACAGGTGAGCTGAGGGGCGGACTGTCTGGTCCTCATCTGACCTCACCTCTGAGGGCAAAGGCTGGGACAGGGGTGGGGGTGGGGGTTGTGACTTGGTGCAGAGAGGCCCGGGGAAGAAGGCTGGATGGAAGGGAGGCAGGTCAGTTTCCAGGTTGGCCACAGAGCCACGCTACCTCCTGTCCCCTGAGGCCTCCTCCCCTCCCCAGCTGCACTCTCGGCTGCAGGGATGTGGAGGCAAAACGCTACTGGACAGTGATATAGGTCCCTCGGGTCCCATCCATGCCAGAGAACTCCCTCCCAGCCTCCGAGTAAGCTCATCTATTTCTAGACCTTTCTCCCGGGAGCCCCAAGCCTTGGGTTTCTTAGAACACCCCCAAATATCTAAACTTGCCTCCAGTGAAGGACGGACCCCCAGGGCACTGTTGCTCTGGTCCTCCTGCCCCCTCCCCCACACAACCACAGCGACCGGCCCGAAGGAGCTGAGCCATTCCCTCCTTCCCTCCTCCCCTCCCCCTGTGCGGGGTGGAGAGCGGTGGGAGGCTGACCAGGGCCCTACAGGCCATTTCCAAGTCCAGGGCCCAGATCTGAAAAGGTGATGCAGCCAAGCGGAGGAGCCCTCCAGCCAGGAAAGCAGGGTCGGCTAGGGGGAGGAAGGTTCCAGAGAGAGCAGGGGAGCCAGGAGGAGGGTTTTTTTTTTTAAATATATATATTTTTATTGATTTCAGAGAGGAAGGGAGAGGGAGAAAGAGATAGAAACATCAACGATGAGAGAGAATCATCAATCGGCTGCCTCCTACACGCCCTGTGTGGGGATTGGGCCTGCCACCTGGGCATGTGCCCTGACGGGAATTGAACCACAACCTACTGGTTCATAGGTTGATGCTCCACCCCTGAGCCACACCAGCCAGGCAGGAGATGTTCTTCAATCTCGGGGGGATTGCTCCGCACATACACGGCTGAGAAGCTCCGGTTGCTACCCTAGTGGCCTGCTTTAGACTGGGCAGTCTGACTTCCCCTCCAAAATTTTTTAAACACAAGATTTTTTAAATGAATAAAATAAACAAGTCTCCCAAGTGGGTAAACATTCAGACTGAAGCTTCATCTAACACACAACAGAAAAAGTATTTATGACCCCGGGGCTCAGAAACGCAACCGTGAGAAAATGCCTTCCCGGTGTCCTTCCTCCTGGAATCCGATGAATCACCACATCCTGCACGTTTCCGAACAGCCCTCGGGGACGCGGGCTCCAAAATGGAAGTCGCCCTCGGAGGCCGGCCGGTGGCCCCAGGGCCTAGGCTGACCTCTCCCTGTGGGCTCGTCCCGGCCTGCAGGTTCCAGAACACTCCAGAACTGGGGAGAAGGGACGGAGGCAGAGAAAGCCGCCCCGGCTTTCAGTGTCCGTGTTGGCCGCCCGCAGGGACCTCGGGACGCTCAGCTGCTGGGGGACGGCCACGCTGACGTCTCTGTTCATTAAAACAAGCTGAGATGTTTTGGAAAAAAATCTCCAAGGTGCAGGCAGCAGCAGGGGAGATGGCACCTCAGCCGGCAACCAGCCTCCCGGCCCGGGAAGCCCAGCCCGAGCCTCCGTGGCCCCCCAGCCACGATCGCGCAGGAACAGGCCGGGCTGTGTAGTCACACAGACCTCACACACCACCAGCAGGTGGGCGGCCTGGAGCAAGTCCCTTACCCTCTGTGAGGCATGGCTTCCTCATCCCCCAATAACCCTGAAGGCTATTCAAGGAAGCAAGTCCGTTGCTTTCACCAGATTCTTAAAAGGGTTGGTTAGACTAATAACCAAGGCTCCCCCATCTCCTGTGGCTTCGGAAACGGGGAACACTGGGCCACGGCACTGTGTGTCTTCTCTTTGATGTGACCCCGTGCGTCAGTCACCCTGTCTTTTTCTCCAGGCCAGATAATTCCAGTTCTACCTAAAGGACTCTATTTTAAAAGGTTTAATCGTGTTCGTAAGACCCAACCCTCCTGAGTCTTCGGTGAGAGGCGGGCTCCATGCGGAGTGCGGAGAGTGCAAGCGGACCTCAAGGAGCTCCGATCTCCGGGGGATGAAGACGCTGCCAGAAGCAGAGGGAGCCCAGCAGGATTCTGAGGGGCAGGGGCCTGAGGGCAAAGGCCCCTACCAGGGAGCAAACTTGGGCTGGACACACACAACTGTGGGTTTTCACACACACACGTTTTAATATAGGGATTCTGGACGGTAAAGGGAATTGAAACCAACTTTCAAACCAATGGCCAGTGTCAAATGAAGGAAAGGCAAGAAACAGTAAGTTATATGCTTATAGGAGTGACCAGATGGCAGCAGGGCTCCATGCCGCCTGCTCAGGTCTGCTCGCCTCGAAGCAGTCAGTGCTCGTTGCATTGAGCGCTCAGATCCTGCCTTTCAGGAATTGTCTTTGAAATGAACTTGACAGCGAATGGACCAGCCCCCAGGAAGAGGAACATTTGCACCAGGAGACAGGAGAGCTTCAGAATTCCAGAAATATTACCATCACACACCCGTGGCAGGTGACAAGGTGAAGAAAGATCACTGATCACACAAAAACTCCAAAGCCCTCACGCATGTACCCGCTGATCAGAGCAAACAGCGCCCCCGGCCGGCCCACCCTCAGTTCCAAGTGACTCGGATCTTGAGAGTAAAACTTGGTGCAGACTGTGGGCTGCAGGCCAGCCAGCCAGCGGCCCTCTCCCCCGAACCTGGAGGACTCTTCCTTTCTCCTTGGGGGCTCGATCCCCTTTCTTCCCTCCCTTGTTGCTTCCCAGGGATGACTCAGCAGCCCTCCTCTCTGCAGCCTCTCAGACCAGCCCGGGGACACCCGGGGCTTCTTTTCAGCCCCGAGTCCTTAGCTGCTGGTTCCCTATTCTGTGTTTCTGAGCCAGGTGCTCGGGACGTCCAAGGGGAACGGGTGAAGAATGGAGATTTCTGGGCCCCGCCTGCCTGTGGAGACCCGGGAATCTGCATTTGCCCATCACTGTTCTAGGCGCTGTAATAAATATTAAGACAAAGCCCAGATCCTCCAACCGGCCTGGCTCTTTAACCCAAACCGTGGGCGCTGCTTTAGGTCATCTCTGAGCCCATGGCCTATTGTTTTCCTGTCCATATCTTGTTTCTTCTCTTTTGTTGTTTCTTCTCTTCCCCGTTCTCATAATCTCCTCATCTTCAGGTCACGCCTCCTTATTGTTCTTGTCTGGCCAGCCTCTCTTCCACACACTCAAAGCCACATCCACTGTTCTCCACCCATTACGGCTGTTTCACGTGTCCTGCATTTAATCCAGTTCCCTGATTTTTAATTTAGATTTTAAGTCATTTCCCAAGTTTCCTTGTCACTCCCCCAACCCTTCTCTTACTGCCTCCCGCC